CAAGCAGTTCAAAGTACCACCCAAATGATAATAGATGCATTAGAAGCAGATGGGTGGCAAATTAACAAAACAAAGAGCCACCTGCAGGCCAGCGAGCAATTCTCATTCTTGGGACTCCATTTAACTCCCACCACTCACACACAAGCCCCAGCCAGTGTATTAGACCCTTGGACAGAAGCCCCTCCAAAAAATAAACGAGAGCTTCAGCAGCTACTAGGTCTCCTTAATTATCACCGCCAATATATTCCGGCGCAATTAATTTCTAACCTAGAAATCCTACAAAGCTCTCTCTCTTCTAAACGCTCCCGAGAAGTGTGGAATGCATCAGCACAAAAAAGCTTAGAGAAGCTAGCTGGCTGGTTCGCCTCTAACCCCCCCCTCGCCCGTTTTAATTCCCAAGAACCCCTCAACATTAATTTGTTTATCACAAAACACCATGTAGGGTTCACTGTATTGCAACATGGTAATGCCATTTACAATTGGACCCATCGCCTGTCTGGAGCCCAGAATAACTATGCTCTGGTGGGAAAAATGCTACTGGCTGCGTTCAGTGCTCGTCACTGGTCTCAAGTCCCTATCCCAGGTACCTTGTCTGGACCACGTGTTCATTTAATCCCGTGGCTTACAAGTACCCCTCCACCCGAGTTTCATGGCACTACTCGCACCTGGCAGCTTCTATGTTTCCAGGTTGAGGTAGCTTGGCAGGTATGGACCCTAACTCCCAGCGATAACATCTTAGCCCCCCCATCTCACCAACCGTTATGCATTGAAGCAAAATATGATCCCTGAGTTGTGTCTGACGGGGGCACCTCACCATCCCCTAGGGCGGGAGTTCTTTGTTCCACATGTAATTACTTTAATGTGCAGTTACTGCCCCCCTTCTGCTCCGCACAAGAATGCGAAGTGCAGGGCGTTCTTTTAGCTGCCCAGCATGTTGCTAATGCCCACTCTGCCAACAAGCAAGTTGTTTTAGGTATCGATTCTCAATTTTGTTTAGATATTTTAATTGAGCAAGCCTCTCCCTCAGCTTTTGTTAAAATGTGGGACCAAATTTTTGCCCTAATTCGTAAATTCTCTCACCCTTGGTTCGTTACGCACTGTCCCTCTCATCGACCAGACTCTAACCCCCTGCATTCCAGTCTTGATCAAAGAATGAGAGAGGTCTCCCAAGTTCATATGGCAAATCCCGCCCCACAGGCCGACCCGCTGTTGCGCTGGCTCCACGAAGAATGGGGACACTTACCACCCACAAAATTGTACGGCCTGTTATCTGGCTTTTCTAACCAAAAGCCTGACGTTAGCCGCAGTCAGTGCGAGCTCATTGTTCAGTCCTGCTTGCAGTGTGTGCAGGTAAAAACTATGAATCGTCCCCGATATGAGCGCTCTGCATACGCTGCAGAACACTTTGCCCCAGGTAGTACGTGGCAAATTGACTAATAGGACCCCTGCCAGGTGCTCGTCGTTTTCCAAAAGCCTTAGTTACTGTCGATCTGGGGTCTCGGCAAACTTTTTGTGTCCCTCTTACTAAAACCAATGCTGCTTCTGTCGCTGTGGCTCTTAAGCAAACAGCAGCTGCCTGGGGCACTCCCACTGAAGCCCAAGCAGATGGTGGGCCACCCTTTACCAGCAAAAGCATTGAACAGCTCATTTTTGGATGGGGGGCTTCCCTTCACATCCATACTAAATATCATCCTCAAAGCAATGGTGTGGTGGAGCGAAAAATCGCAGTCCTTAAGACTATGCTGCGAACAGCAAACCCTAACCCTGATTTTAAAAACTGGAGCTCATTTTTACCCCAGGTACTTATCGCACTCAACAAAAGTTACTCTCGCTGGCCTCACATTTCACCTACACCTAAGCCGCCTTGGTCCCCCGTGTTTAACACCGGCCAACTGGTTTGGCTTACAGAACCCCAAGCCTCCGGTCATCGAGAACCTATAAAAGCCACCATTCTCCAGGCCGGCAAGTACCCTAACACCTACTTAGTGGCTACAAGTACCCCCGGTGACAAGCTAGTTCATCATAACTGGCTCAGCAAATGTAGTTCTTAATAAACAAACTAATGCCCCTGAGCAGGGCTCGTATTATTCTGTTTTACAGGTTATGTTGCTCTCCCTCACAACATCTTTGCCCACGGAGCCCTTAGGAGAAGGTGGACTATAAACCTGGTTCGCCGCCTACTGGGTGCAGGAGGTCAGCGGAAACCAGTCCCTGTCAGCGCTGAGTCCAGAAGATTGTCTTGTTTGCTCCACTCAGTTCTCACCTAAATATCCATTACCCTTTCAATTTGTACCAATAGTTTATAATTTTTCTTCATTTAATATTTCTAGTGTGAATTGTTCTTCCCCCTATGTGCAGTGGGCTGCTTCTAGAGTTTGGAATAATTGTTCTTCACAATTTAATTCTTATGTGTTTCCAGTTCTTAATGCTTCAGGTCGAAGTGATCATAGCTTTCCTTTAATTGAGAGTATTAGAGTTCCAGCATCTCATTGTTGGGTTTTTGTTGGTAATAGTTTAACCTCAGCCCGTACTTGGGTTGGTACTTATTCTAATTGTTCTATGTGGAGTTTCTCTTATGCTAATACCTCCCTAACTAAACCCACTCTTAATTTTACCTATCCCCCTCCCATTAATTGTTCTTATCGTCTTAATTATAATATTTTTTTTGGAACCTTCTATACCTCCATAACACATACGTATCTGTTTCATGCCCAGCATATGCATCATGCTGAGGCTGAATGTATCAATCGTGCATCCAGCTTTTATTCTGTAACCAATAATGGGTGGAGCCATACCACAGTTTCTTCCTTAAGACCCGGTCATTTTTGGATTTGCGGTAATGTTGCATTTGCTGTGCTTCCTCCCAATCCCCGGGGTATATGCACCATTGGCACCCTGTATCTACAGGGCGGAGGTATTTATACCTTGCCATCTAGCCACCGACACCATTGTAGTACCCACTCTTTTTGGGCTCGTTTGCAAACAGCAGCTTCCTCCCTCGGCTCCTCTATTGTTAGTTTTAACCCTGTTGGTTATATGATGTTACGTGATCAAGTGCTGTTTCAATCCCTTGCTATTGAAATGCTTGCTAATACTACGGGCAAGGGCCTCTCCTTAATTAATCAGCAGTTAAATTCCCTTGTTCAGTATAGTATTCAAAATAGATTAATGATTCAATATTTGTTACAATCTTCCTCATTTTGTACTAAATTTGCTGAAGTATATCCCGACTTTGCTGATAAATGCTGCGTTTCTTTGCCTTCTATTTCTCCTAATTTGTCCTCAATTGTTAAAGATCCTGCAAACGTTGAGCTCTACTGTCAGAGAGTCACGAGAGTCCTTCCAGTTTTGGTCATGGCTCGATTGGCTTGGCCTTGCGCCCTACAAATCCTATTTCCAATCCCTGTTTGTGTCCCTTCTAGTTGGGCTCGCTCTTCTCTGTCTCGGATGTGCCTTCATTAAAGCCTACATTCACAAGTTTGTTGCCTCGGCCTACATCGCTTCCACCCCCGAAGCGCATCCCCTCGTAGGTGGGAATGAGGAGTCGGACTCGGAAGTTTAGGTTTTCGGCCTCACTATTTCGGCCAGGGCACGGGGGCATGTTGAGATGAGTTCCTGTCTGCATCCTGTAAAACTTGCCCATACCGGTATTGCCCTGGCCTCTTCTTTTGTCATTCAGTGTTGCACGCATTCTAAAACAATATGCATTTCCTCACCTTTTGGGGGCGAAGCCAGACTTTGAGGCACCAGCTCCCCTACTTGGTGTAAACTTTGCTTGTGCCAATCAGAAATGAACACAAACAGGTTTTGAGCCCCGTCCCCTATGACACTTCTATGATGTCATAGTTGATACTTTATGGGCCTGCCTGCCATGTGCAGGCAGGGAGAGGAGAAAGAAAAACGAATCCTGTGTATCCTGTGTACACCCGTAACCGAGCCTGATCACCTCGAAGCCTCTCTCTCAGCTCACGTGTTTCAAACAGAGTTTCTACGTTTGCCGGTCGTTATGCATTGGTTTGTATTTGTAAGTATCAGTTATTACTAATTGCTGCATCTTTGTTTATAAATATTGTTAGTAGATATTTTAGTCATTGTGTGTTTTAAGTTTCATTAACTCTATTAGCTAATCAAACGCTGCTCCCTTACCCCTTGTAATTATCCCCAATAAAACTTTAAATTGATTAATTTTAGTTGTGTGTGTGTCTGCAGTTTGCATCGTGACCCATACTCTCCTTGTATCCCTTACCAATATAGTCTATTGCCAGGTGCAGCCTGGTAAATAACAAGCCTGCATTTTCTTTCGCCCCTGCGTGCCCGTGGCAATCCACAGGGAGACCATGCGAAACTTCAACTTCTGGAGCGACTTGTTGAGGCGATGCAAGTCTAGGATGGGTCTGAGGCCCCCTTTTGCCTTAGAAATTAGCAGGAGTAGAATCGTCTGCCTTTCATATTCCGAGGAACTTTTTCCCACTTCCCCCCGGCTGAAGGAAGCCCTGGCCACCCCCCTTCTCTCTCTCCCCCGCTCCCTCCCTCCCGCTAGCCAGGCTGCGGAAGCTGAACACAAGTACAGTGGAACCCCGCTATAATGCGACCCCGCATTTACCGCAATTGCATTTTTTGGACCCCAATGATCGCGTTATAGCAGGGTTCCACTGTATTTAGTTGCAAACATGTTTTAATAGTTACCAACCAATGAGAATCAACTTTTCTTTAGGAAAGTAAACAGTACAAATGCAAAACATAATTAAAATTGATTATTTACATCAGGTTTCCTGCTCGCTGATTTAAATCATTTTGATTTAAATCAATTCACCCAGTTTATGTCCAATTTAAACTGCAAGCTCCTTGGGAGAAGAAATGTATGTGCCTTCTTTGTATGAAGGCCAAGCCTGATGACAACCCTTAAATAAAAAATGGTTTACTCACTAATTTGAAGCTATGAAGAAATAAGTGACAGGAAGTAAGAGGGGTTTCCCACACCTAAAAGTGTAATCACTGACCTTTGCAATAGCAACAGCTTGTTGTGGATAATATAGCGAGGCACCAATCCCCATGAAGCCCACTGGATACACCAACCTCTTTATTTTTGAACCTGTTTCATGGAAGAAAATATTTTCTGTTAGAGTACTGGTTCTCCAGAAACTTGGATAGTGTTACTGTACTTTTTTTTTTTATATATATAATCATTCATTAGGTACATTATAATTTACCACATCAGTAATTGTTTAGTTTAACTACTTTCCTAAGAAACACAATCATATTAGACCGATATACTAATTTTTCACTCTTTTGAGAGTACTTTTTAACAGAATCTTTCAGTGATAACTACCTCATAATTAAATCTGATGTGGGGATTCAAAAAAATTTTAATGGTGGAATAACCAAAACCTTTAAAGAAATATTGCTATGAGAATTATATAAACTTCTGTTCATGAAATGAATGCAAATGCTTCTAATATGCTAAAATAGAATCCATTTGGCATATCAAGCAGAAGGCATGTTCCATAACAGAGATCAGCCTTTACCAGCTACCATAAATATAGTTCTACCACATGTACACTTGTGATATAGGTTTTCTTCCTGTTGGACTCATTATTAAGGCTGCATGTTTGTAACGGAGGTCATGGATTCCGTGACTTTCCGTGACCTCCGTGACTTCTGCAGCGGCTGGTGCTCCATGCACTGCCCATGCCCACAGGTGCCACCACCGCAGCTCCCATTGGCTGCGGTTCACGGCCAATGGAAGCTGAGGAGCTGGTACTAATGGCAGGAGCAGCGTGCAGAGCCCCCCTGGCCACCCTTCCCCCAGGAGCTGCAGGGACACGCTGGTCGGAGCCGGGAAGGGAGCCTGCCTGCCTGCCTGCCACACACACACACACACACACACACAAGCAGGGGTCCCAGGCCGTCCCCCATCCCCAGCAGGGGTCCTAGGCCATCCCCACCCCCCAGCACCCGGGCCCAAGTTTTAGTTAGGGGTATATAGTAAAAGTCATGGACAGGTCACGGGCCGTGAATTTTTGTTTACTGCCGGTGACCTGTCCATGACTTTTACTAAAAATATCCATGACTAAAACGTAGCCTTACTCATTATATACTTCAAAGTTAAAACTCATTGTAAACTAGCTTCTTGACATTTCAAGCTCAGATGCAAAAATAAAGTGCTTTGATTTTTGTATTGCAAGTAAGCGATTTGCATTTCAAATCAGGTCCACCCCAAAATCATAAGATGGGATTAAAAAGATAAAATTATAGGTTCTTTTTATTTATCTTCTAGTTCTTAAGCCTTTAGGGTATTCATTTTCCACAACCCCAATGGCCATACATTTTTTTCCTTTAAAAAAAAAAAAAAAAAAAAAAAAAAAAAAGATTCTCACATAATCACATGACTCCTGAAGTTGGAACTTTAAGAAAAACATCTACAATCAGGATCTGGCAATGTTCTTCTCATTAAATACCATCATGAATGCTAAGCAGTGTGTTTGTTCACTGCCAGAGAATAATCAAAATAAATTTAATTGGAGAAGTGTTAATACATTTGTCTGCTATAGTCACACATCACTTCCAGTTTGTTCAAAGAACTGCTCATTTCTGATTTTGTTAATGAAAACACCACAGATACAGTTAAGTAGTGTCACATACTAAGAACTTCTACAAAAAGGAGCATACCCTAGAACCTCAGAGTTCTGAGCACCAGAGTTACAAACTGATTGGTCAACCACACACCTCATTTGGACTGGAAGTACACAAGCAGGCCACAGCAGAGACCAGAAAAAAAATAAAAGCAGCAAATACAGTACAGTACTGTGTTAAATGTAAACTACTAAAAAAATAAGAACATAAGAATGGCCATACTGGGTCAGACCAAAGGTCCATCCAGCCCAGTATCCTGTCTACCGACAGTGACCAATACCAGGTGCCCCAGAGGGAGTGAATCTAACAGGTATTGATCAAGTGATCTCTCTCCTGCCATCCATCTCCACCCTCTGACAGACAGAGGCTAGGGACACCATTCCTTACCCATCCTGGCTAATAGCCATTAATGGACTTAACCTCCATGAATTTATCTAGTTTCCTTTTAAACCCTGTTATAAATAAAGGGAACGTTTAAAAAATAAGATTTGACAAGGCAAGGAAACTCTTTCTGGGCTTAAGTATCAGAGGGGTAGCCGTGTTAGTCTGAATCTGTAAAAAGCAACAGAGGGCCACAGGACCCTCTGTTGCTTCTTTCTGTGCTTGTTTCATTTGCACTAAGATTGTTAAAAGCAGCGTTTTTCTTCTGCATAGTAAAGTTTCAAAGCTGTATTAAGTCAATGTTTAGTTGTAAACTTTTGAAAGAACAACCATAATGTTTTGTTCTGAGTTATAAACATTTCAGAGTTATGAAACATTCTTGAGGTGTTCATAAGTCTGAGGTTCTACTGTATTTCAAATTCCCTTTCCTAACAAAGCATAAATATACTATTTAAGCAATGTAATTAAATGTTACATTGAATTTCTACACTGTAAAATATGTATAAACATGTTACATTATACTGTAACTTACTTCTAGGTAAGCTCTACGTAGAGATGAGACCACAACAACATTCAAGAACCTTGCTTTGTCAGTTAACTTGCCAATTAGAGGGACACAGTCAACTTAAAAAAATTTCAGAACCAAATGTTTGGGGTTTTTTTGCCTACTATTGTTAAAATTAACTCCGAGTATATAATAAAGATTAAAGGAAAAAAACCTCTCTTTTTTCAGTTGGCTTACTTTACAGTCAGTTTCATTGTTTGTTGATAGTTATAGGCCCTGGAAAAGGGTGTTCACTATGTGTAATAGCATTATCAGAGCTGAAACTGAAAGAACAAGCGGCAAGCAGAAGCAGGTGTGAGCCCAGAAGCAAAAAGGGGGTGGGGGAGGAAGTGGAAGTGGGTGTATAAGCATATTTGATTATGTAGCTTTCAGGCCCATCCAAAGGCCCTTTCTAAACTAACAGAGGAGCACAAAAACTAATTAAAAATAATTTTAAAGAAAACTATCAGAGGAATTGGCAGCGTCCCTTTAATCACTAGTTCATAATTGGATAGTCTCCTTAATTTCATTAAGTAAACTGTAAAGGAATAGCTGCTTATTGGTAACTGTCTCTGTAAACTGAATGATGCACACTTTAGAGAGCATTATCTGCTAAATTACTACAAAGCAGAATCTTCACAGTAACAATATTCAAAATGCCATGTTTAAATTAATTGAATACTTATGACCAAAAAAAAAAAAGTCTGCAAACAAGTTTTTAAGAAATGCATCCAATTTCCCTTAACTAAAAATTACTATTTTCCCCCCCAAAAAACATGCTACCACACTGAGGGTATGTCTACACTACCCGCCGGATCGGCGGGCAGCAATCAATCCAGCAGGGGTCGATTTATCATGTCTAATCAAGACGCGATAATCGATCCCCGATCACTCTCCCGTTGACTCCTGTACTCTACCACCACGAGAGGCGCAGGCAGAGTAAACGGGGGAGTGGCAGCAGTCGACTCACCGCGGTGAAGACACCATGGTAAGTCGATCTAAGTACATCGACTTCAGCTACGTTATTGACATAGCTGAAGTTGCTTAACTTAGATCTATTCTCCCCCCCACCCCCAGTGTAGACCAGGACTGGGACTGGGATTGTGAGGTGTAGTGGTGATGCAACTAAATCAAGAGAAAGATTAGTTTTATAAGCTGAATGCTTTAGCATTAAATTTGGTTGATAATTGCAATTCTGGTGTTCCTCTTAGATTTCATCATATTATTACTATAAGCGCCATTCAGTACTGGTGTCTTTTATAGACCAAATTTCTGTAACCAACAGAATCCATAACACTGAAATTAAACAATATAAAAAAAAACTTTTGTAGCAGAAATAATGTGCGTCAAGATACATTTCTGAGTCCTGATTTAATTGCACATATTGTAGTTAAAGATGTATTCATTTTTATTGCATGTTAAATGATTTACCCCAACTTCATAAAATAAGCCATTTAAAAAGAGCACCTACCTCTAGAAAGAAACAGTCCAACAATTCCAGCAAAACCAATGACACCAAGCCTTGGGTAAAATCCTGGCGGGGGATTTTTGAGAAATTCACAACTTTCTAAAATGAAATCAGACCACAATGCATCAATGTAATGGAAAGAGCTTATGATGAAAATGAACCATTAACACATACGAGCAAGTGTTACAAAACAAAGTGTTGTTAAACACTATTTTAACTGTCATGTATTTTTTGGCTCTAGTGGCAAAAAATTTAAGACTTCTGCAATCTTCTCTATTGACACATATATGAACTACTTGTTAATGCACTGGGAGGCTGTTGCTTCATTTATTTGGGGACATTAATTGAAACATTAATGTTTCTTGAAAGTTCTAGGAGGCACATATTTTCATGCGGACTGTTACATGTTATCATTTGTCTTTGGAAAAGAGGATCTGTTCGTAGCAGCATTTCGCTTTTTCAAACTGCTTTTGTGAGGGTGTTTTAGGTGACAGATTGACTGGCACAGTAATGAGTTCTATCCACCATCAAAGCTGTGGGCTTCCTGCAGTAGAAGCAGAGTTATTTTGCAGAATGTCACAATCTAATGGTTCTAGCTACCTCTTGATTGTGTTAAAGTCCTTATTTCCCAATACAATATAAAGATAGTTTTTTTTCCTCAACAAGTCTTTAGAGTCAGTCCATTTCAGGAAAGCGCATGTAAATATCTTGTATTTTTAGAGTTTGCTAGAGTAATACTTATTCTTTAAATTAATTTTTAAATTTAGACTCATAGACTCATAGACTTTAAGGTCAGAAGGGACCATTATGGTCATCCAGTCTGACCTCCCGCATGATGCAGGCCACAAAAGCTGGCCCACCCAATTTCCCGTATCTCAGCTGTTGAAGTCTCCAGATCGTGATTTGAAGACTTCAAGTCGCAGAGAATCCTCCAGCTTGAGACCCCTGCCCTATGCTGCAGAGGAAGGCAAAAAACCTCCAGGGCCTCTGCCAATTTACCCTGGAGGAAAATTCCTTCCCGATCCCAAATATGGCGATCAGTAGAACCCCGAGCATACAGGCAAGATTCTCCAGCCGGAGAATTTTTTATATACACACACACACAAACAAGTTTTGTGTGTGCGCGCGCGAAAACAGAATTTCACTATTTCCAGTCTGAACAGATATTTAAGTTTCAGAATGCAGTTTTACTAAAATTTTCAAACAGTACAATTATTCAAGTGCTCCACACTAATAACTAACACTAGTAAGTATTGGAATGCAATGATCTATGGACACTCATTTATTAAGCCAGAAGGGGGTCCCCTCCCCTTGACCTCCTGCCACTTAACAGAACATCAGCATTGTAGAACAATTTTTAAAATTAGTGTACTACACAAAAAACGTTTTCAGAAACTAGTGTAATTTGGAGTGAGGGAAATTAGTCCATAACTCAACTTTAGCTTATTAGGCTCTCATCAGTTGCATAAACAGTGTTGATATTTACAAAACAATTACATTTATATCCTGTTGCCACCTGGTTATGCATACAATTTCATTTCCCCGTTAGCTGAGTTTCCTGCAGTTTGCTGTCTGCCATTCTCCGCTACAAAACCTCTTGTGGTTTTGTCATCGGATACACTTTATGTTTTAGTCAGCTGACAAAACCAGGAAGACAACTGTGCATTTATTTTACTTCCCTATTCACACAATTTCAGTTAAAAATGAAATCCGAACAATTATTTTAACTTGCCATTAAAAGTATACAACATAAAAAAGTGTTCCCCGCCTCCTGACTTATGCATGTATATAAACTTAGGCCTGGTCTACACTAGGCGTTTATGTCGAATTTAGCGCCGTTACATCGAATAAACCCTGCACCCGTCCACACCACAATGCTATTTAGTTCGACATAGAGGTCTCTTAAATTCGACTTCTGTACTCCTCCCCAACGAGGGGAGTAGCGCTAAATTCGACATGGCCATATCGAATTAGGCTAGGTGTGGATGGAAATAGACGCTAACAGCTCCGGGAGCTATCCCACAGTGCACCACTCTGTTGACGCTCTGGACAGCAGTCCGAGCTCGGATGCTCTGACCAGCCACACAGGAAAAGCCCCGGGAAAATTTGAATTCCTTTTCCTGTCTGGGCAGTTTGAATCTCATTTCCTGTTTGGACATCGTGGCGAGCTCAGCAGCACTGGCAACGATGCAGAGCTCTCCAGCAGAGATGGCCGTGCAATCTCAGACTAGAAAGAGGGCCCCAGCATGGACTGATCGGGAAGTCTTGGATCTCATCGCTGTGTGGGGTGATGAGTCCGTGCTTTCCGAGCTGCGCTCCAAAAGACGGAATGCAAAGATCTACGAGAAGATCTCTAAAGCCATGGCAGAGAGAGGATACAGCCGGGATGCAACGCAGTGCCGCGTGAAAATCAAGGAGCTGAGACAAGGCTACCAGAAGACCAAAGAGGCAAACGGACGCTCCGGAGCCCAGCCCCAGACATCCCGTTTCTACGAGGCACTGCATTCCATCCTAGGTGCGGCCGCCACCACTACCCCACCAGTGACCGTGGACTCTGAGGATGGGATATTGTCCACGGCCAGTTCCTCGGACATGTTAGCGGACGGGGAAGATGAGGAAGGAGATGAGGAGGACGAGGCAGTCGACAGCGCTTGCAACGCTGATTTCCCCGACAGCCAGGATCTCTTCATCACCCTCACAGAGATCCCCTACCAACCGTCCCCAGCCGTTAACCCGGACACAGAATCAGGGGAAGGATCAGCCAGTAAGTGTTTTAAACCTCTAAACATTTATTTTTAACAGAACAGGAATTTTAACAATACCAACAATGGGTTTCTCATGATTAGTTTGCCCTAGGCGCTTAACGTTTCAGTCCCTGGCAGTGCAACTATTAAAAACAAATCTAACAATGTCCGGTTTTGCATGATTGTTCTGCCCAAGCCGCTCTACTGTTTAGTCCCTGCCAGTGCAGCTACAGTAAAATGCGGTCTACATGTCCGGGGATAGAGCAGAAATACTCCTGGGACATCTCGACGAAGCTCTCCTGGAGGCAATTGAAAAGCCTTTGCAACAGGTTCCTGGGGAGAGCGGCCTTATTGGGTCCTCCATGGTATGAAACGTTTCCGCGCCAGGAGACCATCAGGTACTCTGGGATCATTGCCCTGCAGAGCATGGCGGCATACGGCCCTGGTCTTTGCAGGCTTTCCCGAAGCATTCTTTCTTTATCTCTGTCTGAGATCCTCATCAGGGTGATGTCGCTCATGGTGACCTGCTTTGAATTAGGTAGGGGAATGTTAGTATTGGGACTGCTTGCCCGTTCCTTTACAGAACTGTAACCGCCGGTTTACAGACACGCGGTGGAGGCGGGAGAGGGGCGGCATACAGGGATCTTTCCCTGGGACAGCCGCGAGGGGGTGGGACAGGGGCAGAGTTGATGCTTGCCGGATTGCTGGCAGCAGGGACTGGCGTTGCTTTCAATGTGAAAGGAGGCCAGTGCTACTATCAAAGTTTTAAGCAGCCACAAGTCTACGGCTTACCATGTCTGTCTGCTACACAAATTCCGGTGTCCTGCCCCGTTTCTCAAATCGGCAGTGCAAGACCCCAGGCACTGAATGTGAGGGCCGAAAATTCGACCTTGTCCTGAGTGCGCATGTGATAGGTACAGTGCATGGTCTTGTTCACAGAGACAGACTATGTTCTTTGTTCACAACAAAATTTATCTTTCTGAGGAATTCACTCCCTTTTTCCCATTCCCACAGCCACATCTGCGACTGTCTCCCAACACAGCCTGGCATCACACTCCCAGAGGCTAGCGCAGATTAGGCGGAGGAAGAAGAAGACGCGGGAGGACATGTTCTCGGAACTAATGGGCTGCTCCCGAGCCCAGGCAGCCCAGCAGACCCAGTGGAGGGAGAATTTGTCCCAAATGCACCGAGCACACATGGAACGGGAGGAGAGGTGGCGGCAGGAGGACCAGCAGGCGACTCAAACGCTGCTTGGACTAATGAGGGAGCAAACGGACACGCTCCGGAGCCTTGTGGATGTTCTGCAGGAACGGAGGCAGGAGGACAGAGCCCCGCTGCAGTCTATCAATAACCGACCTCCCCCGCCACCAAGTCCCATACCCTCCTCACCAAAAGTCCAAAGAAGGAGGGGCGGCAGAGTCCGTGAAAACTCTCACTCCACCCCTGCAGACTGCTCTACTAGAAGGCTCTCATTCCCCAAAATTTGTCAAGTCCTTTCCTTCCCGCCTCACACAAGCCCCCATCCAAGTTTCACCCCCCCAGTTTCATGTGTAGTTGCTAATAAAATGTATGTTTCTGTTAATTACTGTTTCCATCATGTTCTTTTGGAGGAGAGTCTGTCTGAAGTGGGGGGGGAAGGGGGTTGGTAATTGGACAGGACAGTCACCTTTAGCAGGGTACAGAGGCGGGGGCAGGTCCAGCAGCAGGGCACATACACAGTGCAGTGACTAGTTACCCTGGTCAGTCTTGGAGGTGGTTTTCATGTTCTGGGGGGGGGGAGGGGGTTGCTCTGTGACTTTGTGGCGGGGGAGGGCAGTTACAGATCTTATGCAGCGGTCCTTATCCTGGATCACAGAGCCACGCAGCAGGGGATCTGTAACCCTCCTCCCACTGCCACAAAGTCACATAGCCCCCACATACATGCAGTCCCGATCAGGAGGGCTGGCAGGCTCCGTTGAAACAACCAGTCCACCAGTGCGGAGCCTGTCATTCCTGGAGTTTAGAAGCGTCATTTGCATCAGTACACTACACCCGCTCCCCACCACAGTCTGCGTCCCAGGTTTAAAACATTCCCGCGAAAACAGTAATAAAGAAAACGGTGTCCATTAACAAAATAGAAGTCATTTTATTTTTAAACGTGTGTTGGAAGGGGGTGAAGGGGGTATGTAACTGGAGAGGATACTGAACATTTAGTGGGTAAAGAAAGGGGGGCAGGTTCAGCTTCTCTGTACACAAACTTAAAAGTCACAGGTTACCCTGCTCACTCAGGAACCTAGCTTTCAGAGCCTCCCGGATGCACAGCGCGTCCCGCTGGGCTCTTCTAATCGCCCGGCTGTCTGGCTGGGCGTAATCAGAAGCCAGGCTATTTGCCTCAACCTCCCACCCCGCCATAAAGTTCTCCCCCTTGCTCTCACAGAGATTGTGGAGCACACAGCAAGCTGCTATAACAATGGGGATATTGGTTTCGCTGAGATCACAGCGAGTCAGTAAGCTTCTCCATCTCCCCTTGAGACGGCCAAAAGCACACTCCACCACCATTCTGCACCATTCAGCCGGTAGTTGAAGAGTTCTTTTTCAGTGTCCAGGGCGCCAGTATAGGGGTTCATGAGCCAGGGCATTAGGGGGTAGGCTGGGTCCCCGAGGATCACTGTAGGCATCTCCACATCCCCAAGAGTTATTTTGTGGTCCGGGAAGTAAATACCTTCCTGCAGCCGTCTAAACAGACCAGAGTTCCTGAAAACGCGAGCGTCATGAACCTTGCCCGGCCATCCGACGTTTATGTTTGTAAAACGTCCCCGATGGTCCACCAGTGCTTGCAGCATCATTGAAAAGTAGCCCTTTCTGTTAATGTACTGGCTGGCCTGGTGGTCCGGTCCCAGGATAGGGATGTGAGTTCCATCTATAGCCCCACCGCAGTTTGGGAATCCCATCGCAGTGAAGCCATCTATGATGGCCTGCGCGTTTCCCAGGGTCACTACCTTTGAGAGCAGTAGCTCAACGATTGCGTTGGCTACTTGCATCACAACAACCCCCACGGTAGATTTGCCCACGCCAAAGTGGTTCGCGACTGACCGGTAGCTGTCTGGCGTTGCAAGCTTCCAGAGGGCTATGGCCACTCGCTTCTGGACAGTCAGGGCTGCTCGCATCTGGGTGTCATTGCGCTTCAGGGCAGGGGACAGCAACTCACAAAGTTCCAGGAAAATCCCCTTCCGCATGCGAAAGTTTCGCAGCCACTGGGATTCATCCCAGACCTGCAGCACTATGCGGTCCCACCAGTCCGTGCTTGTTTCCCGGGCCCAGAATCGCCGTTCCACAACATCCACATGACCCATTGTCACCGTGATGTCCTCGGCGCTGGGTCCCGTGCTTTCTGACAGGCCTGTGCTACTCTCAGACTTCAGGCCCTCACCGCGGTGCCGTAGCCTCCTCGCCTGATTTATCTGCATCTGCCTCTGGGAAAGGTGGATGATAAGCTGCGAGGCGTTGAGAACGGCCACAACTGCAGCGATGGTCGCAGCGGGCTCCATGCTCGCAGTGCTGTGGCGTCCGCGCTGTCACTGACCAGAAAAGTGCGCGAACTGATTTCCCGCCGGCGCTTTCAGGGAGGGAGGGCGGGCGGTAGTGACGGACGGATGACGACTGTTACCCAAAAGCACCCTCGACACATTTTTTTACTCAGAAGGCATTGGCGGCTCGACCCAGAATTCCAATGGGCAGCGGGGACTGCGGGAACTGTGGGATAGCTGCCAATGCACCGCTTCCAATGCACCGCTTCCAATGTCGACGCTTTCCCCGTTAGTGTGGACTCACAAAGTCGAATTACTGTCCTTAGTGTGGACACACATGTTCGACTTTGCAATATCGATTCCACATATTCGATTTAAGTGAAATCGAACTACTCTCGTAGTGTAGACATACCCTTAGATAATCCCTTGCTTCACCAGGCCTCGGAATTAAGGTAATTTAAAAGTTGATTCCTTTTCTTTCATTGTAACATAGGAATTGCCAAGACTAGAGCAATAGTCCAGCATCCTGTTTCTAACAGTGGCCAGTCCCAGATGCTTCAGGAGATGCAAGAACTTTGTAATTATGGAATAAGCGGCCTTTAGAGGAAGTTTCTATCTAGTATCATCAGTTAGTAATACATCTATGCTCTGAAGAACAGAAATGTTATATCTCTAACATTTATCAGTTTATCTGATTCAAGGGTGGATGTAATCAATATCCATACAAATATGTTATCCTTTTATTAATTCTTGGCCTCAAAATAATCTTGAGGCAATAAGCTCCCAAGAGTTATTTGGGACAGTGTGTAAAAGGTATTTCCTTTTGTGTGTTTGTGGCTGTTCAATTTAGCTGAACATGTTCTTGTTTTTGTAGTACAAGAACTGGTAAATAAGAGAGGCTGATTTAGGTGCAAAATAAAGAATGGTCTAAAACAGAGGTCGGCAACCTTTCAGAAGTGATGTGCCAAGTCTTCATTTAGTCACTCTAATTTAAGGTTTCGCATGCCAGTAATACATTTTAACATTTTTAGAAGGTCTCTTTTAAGTCTATAATATATAACTAAACTATTGTTGTATGTAAAGTAAATAAGGTTTTTTAAATGTTTAAGAAGCTTCATTTAAAATTAAATTAAAATGCAGAGCCCCCCAGACCGGTGGCCAGGACCCGGGCAGTGAGAGTGACACTGAAAATCAGCTTGCGTGCCGCCTTTGGCACGCGTGCCATAGGTTGCCTACCCCTGGTCTAAAAGCTATCACATCCTTTCTTGTACCCCAACACTGCGCTAGCAGATCCCTATGCCCATGTGGTGCCTCACTGAAGTCTGTTTTGGTCACCCTATCTCAAAGATATACCAGAAATAGATTGGGTATTTAGTTTAGAGAGATGAAAAATGTGCAGATTCAGTTACTGAATTTAAAAACAGCCAGCTCACATTAATTTGAGAACACTACCAAAGTGTGCTTAGTTTTAGCATGTGAATTAAGTTGTGTGAGTGGTTTCTGTCTTCTCTCATGTCCCACCAACCCAGGCAATCCCATAGTGAGATTGGAGAGGTCAGATTTTGGCCAACTAATCCTGAATGACACAGGTAAGGCCAAATAAAGCTATGTGTAGATTCTACTATTTTCACAGAGTGATTTGCATTGGCTTCAGTATAGCTGCCCATGAACAGATAGCATCTTGTTCCCTGCCTGGCCCAATTATCCTAGATGCCCCTTTAACTTATACTGTGGATGTTCTTTATGTGGACCCATTACTTAGAGCCTGTTCACACCACAGATGCTGCAGGTGTGCCTGTATAGTGCCATAATGTAGACACTTGCTACAGAGCCAGAAGTGGTTTTTCCATTGCTGTAGTTAATCCATCCCCTTGAGAGAAAGGAACGAGGATGACCTAGCTGTGTCTATACTGGGGCTTTGGTCAGTTTAACTACATCTCTGAGGGTTGTTAATTTTTTTACACCTCTAGTTCAACCCAGCTACATTGCTTAAATTTTTGGTGTAGACCAGCCCTTACTCTTGCACTGTTTACGACAGACACAGGACTATGCTTTTAATTATCAAAAACAGAATATCATGATGCTCCACAAAAGAAATCCAAGAAATCCATAGCACAAATAGCAGAAAGATTTGAAGTTCCTTTACCCACACCATGTGCTGAATAATGTTTAATGGAGCTCTGAGCTAAGAGAAGGCACATGTAACCATAGCCATGCATCATAATTTTTCCCTATCAAGCACCTCACCTATTAGTAAAGAAAAATGTAAGCTGATTTACCTCTACCACGTTCAACAGTTTTTTCTACTTTGGGCATAGCTTTAGTGTAAAGATCCTGGGGAGGGAAAAAAAAAAAAAAAAAAGATTAAATATACAGTAGCAAAACAGAAGTAACTGTTGATTATAATAACCTGATGAAGAGCAACAACATTAGTTTTATACATTCCATGTCAATTCAGGCACAGCAGCCTTGTATGTTCGAGACTGTTAAATACGCTTGCAGGTCTTTTTATTCAGGATCAAATCAGCAAACAAAATTAAGCATTGTTTTCTGCCAAAACTGAATGATCTAGCAGTCATCATAGAATATTCGGAAAACTAAAGGGACTTCTCTGGTACCTATGTGCAGTTCTGATTTTATCCATGCTGCCAAGACCTCTTCCCTTCGGTCCCCTTCTCCACTCACAGTTCTGTTTGCCTAGTTTTACACTTGATATTAAACACAGCAAAGAATATTTTCAACCGTAAATTCTGAATGAAGATTGTGTCCACTGCCTCAAAAATGAACAGAAGACAAAATTTAGCATTGCACCAAGATCCTGACGATAGAGCAGAAATTAAGGAATTATGCAGCTGCTCTCCTACCACACCATGCTCAAGTATCTTGGCATATCCATGCATTACAAAATAAATGAGTTATCACAGAAGAGGAAGGTCACATAGCTATACAATAACTCATTGCTAGTGATCCATGGAGAGACATTACTGATTTTGAACGCAGTTATTTTCTCTTTCACCAGACTAGATTATGACAAATTGGTATAACAGTATTCTTGGAGGATATGAGGGTTAAACACATATGGACGCCAATTTAATTCATGAAAAAGTGAATTAGTCCAGACGCTCAGTACTGGAGCTACCGATAGTTGTCCCAACTGCAGGAATAATTTTGAGACTTCTCCTGTACTGGAAGCACTCAGCTCATGAAGCAAGAATTCACAATGCTCTTATTCTTCAGCTATTGAGAAACTTAATCATACAAATGCACTGATGCCTGCCTTGACAGAAGAAGAACATCTTAATATTTACAGGGAGATACTGCACAAAACTGCCTCCAGAGAGGTAAACAAATCAATAGGTAACACACACAGAGTTAAGATGTAGAGAACAATCTTGCAATACCACTTAAATAATTTTACACCCTAAATTTCAGGTACAGGGAAATGAAAGCACTAAATTAGTATACTGGGTAAGGGAACAATATCTTTAGGGCTCTCATTTATTTTCAGCAGTAACAACAACAAAAATCTACCAGGGAGAAAGAGTTCACATGGGGTAGATTTAAGCATAAATAAATCAGTTTACGGGAGTTGGTTATGCTATCAGCTGGTACAAAAGAGCAAGGTCTAAAGATTTTATAGCATGTTAATAAAAGCCTGAACTTTTGTCATGCAGAGTATGATGCTCTCTGTTTTACAGCTTTAAATAGAAAAATTGTTTAAAAGGCTACTTTAATTAACAGTTAACAATTATCAAAGGCATAAAATGATATATGAATCTACTCAAAACTGGTTTTCATTTGTTTTCTGGATTAAAACAATTTTTAAATATCTGAAAGAGCCACCCCAAAATGCTACTTTCTGTAACACAATGGGAGAAAAGCTCTCCTTGAGATCGAAGTCTGAATCAAGTCCCTAAAATTGTGCACTTTTCTTGCCTACTGTGTCAACTATGTCTGTTAAAAACACCACAGTATGGTGATACTGCAGACAGGAAAGCTATCAGTCACGAAGAAGTGTGTAATACATACAGCACCAGTGAGTCATACTGTACAAATTATTACCATGTAAACAAAAATAAGGCAGGGTAAGAGATTAATAGACCACAGAGCCTTACAGTACAGAGCAGTAAGTACTCTCAGTCAGTTCAACTGAATTTCCAGACAGGTCAGTCCTCTCTGAAGTTCCACTCCCAGCATGATGTTTACACTGGTTGTTCCAGGCAACCAATAGAACACAGGAATTTAAAGAGGTCAGACCCTGCATGTAAACAGCCATAAGCAGAAAGCCTTTCAGATCCCATTTAACATGGAAGCCCAGATACCACAGTAAAGGGTATGACACATCAGGGATTATGTCAGTGTCAAATTGGAAAATCCATTTTATTTTGAAAAGGCCATGTATTTCAACCTCCATTTTGATTGCCACCTTTAGCATGGCATTGTTGGGCATCCATTTTGTAGCAGGGATTAGACAACTCAATGGATAGACTGTCTAGCAAGCTGTGACAGAGCAATCGAGGACATTGGTTGTACCCTAGTGAAACAAAGATTAGCAACCAGCAGGCCAATGACTTTGAATGAGACTTTACCCAGAAGCCATGAGGGGGACAGCCATAGTTTAGAGCCTGGAAATTCCCCAGGGGAAGAGCAGGGGCAAGAAACGCGTCAGAGGTTGTTTTAAAAAAAGGAATGTTCTAAGCAAAGGAGGCCATTCCATTGTCATGTGCAGAACGCTGGGCCAAGCATGAAGAGCTGTCTGGCCTAAGGATTGGACCGAATCCAGGGTTCAAAAATGTGGTGAGGTCAGGCTGAAGGGGACTGCGTTCAGGGGTTTGTCGTTTTCCCAAGAGCTGTAATTCTTGTGCTGTTTAAAAAGTAAAAGCATTTGTGACTAACACATTCTTTCACTAAGCCTGCGTTCATTGCATTACTGACACTATTGTCCCTAGGTGTGTAACTAGGCTACCAGACCTCCCACAGGAGGCCTTGGAGGTGTGACATTATATGCTTAAAATTTGACCACATAGATCATTTTTACTACCACTGTTATATAATTGTAACAAATCTTGTACAAATTATGTCATGGGAGGTGTCAATGGAAAAGTTATGATTTGTTGAATGTGATTATCCTATTTGTACACATGTATTATTTTCATTTGCTTCTGGGTAACGCCCAGGAGGTAGTTTACATCCGGTCTAGACAGCACATTGTGACTAGAATATTCAAGTTGATGGCCCATCAACAAACACAATGGGTATGGAAGAAGCTTATCCCCACCTGATGGATTTTCCTGTCGATATTTTAGTCAGAATATAGGCAATGGCTCCTGCTTTGATTCATCGAAGCATGCAAGGGCATGTAACCAGCTTTAAGAGCCTGAAGGGCCTCCTTTTTTATATTGTTGTTCAGTCCTTTAACTTTTATTGTATAGAATTTAATTGTATTTGAGAGAATAACAGAAAATCTAGGTTAAAATGATCTGTACAGAGGACCATAATGCATTGCATATGTTATACAATTTCTATATTATACGATTTATTATGTACATTGCAGTAATCTAACTTTCACCTTCCTTTTCCCTGCTAACTGCCACAAAAGGCAACAACCACCTACACAAAGATAGGGGAATTGGGGATTGATAGCAACTCTGCTATTTTTAAGGCAAGGAGAAATTGTTAAAAGCTTAAGAGCTAAAAGATTGGGGGGGTGGGGGGGCGGGAAGGTTTTTCCAGCTCAGACAAGGGAGATCAAGGTTGAGTTTAGAAGTTTGGGGGGGAAGGATTCTAAAGCTTTTTTTTTTTTTGGCCAAAAAGGGGTACAAGATTTGGTGAAATACACCATGCACAATTGCAGACAAAAAGAACCATTTCTTTTTACAGAAACACTTCCTAATGGCTAAAATATCTTTAAATATTCAGAGCCCTCAGAGATATCTTTCTACTAAAAAAAAAAAAAAAAAAAAAAAAGCAATTCACTAATTCAGATCAAGGCAGGTTTTAATATCCTGTCATAAGCAAAATCCTCAATCGTCCTTAACTATGGAAACATATCAGTACTTCCGTAAGATAAAACTGCTATACCTGACACCAAGATGTATATGGCTCCACAGAATGCCGCAGATATGAGATCCCCTTTTCCAACTGGGTTTGTGGTTCCTCCACATATTTAGACTCATGAGTTGGACAGGAGTAGAGTGAAAGCTGTGAATATTTGCAAACAAGAGGTTAAAAAGGTAGACTTGTACAAGAAGGTCCTCAGGGCAGGAGCTGTATAATTCAACCATGCCTAGCGCAAAGTAAATGATACTACAAGACATAATAAAAATACAGTCAAGCTGTGAGAACTCTATGTGAATTAAAGAATAATTACACATCATGAGGAGAGCATTACTAATTGCTCCTCTGTTCAGCCAAACAAATTGATGGCTAATCCAACTACAGGTTTAGAAATAGAACATCAGACTCATTTGGTCCCAAAAATCACATACATAATTGTGAGAAGTGTTTTCTATACTTAATCAGCAATATTGGTTCTCAGCGTTTGTATTAAGTGTACTAGATCTTAGAGCAGTCATTTTCTATATTTACCCAAGCCATTATTAAAGACTTTAAGTAGTTTTTAAATTAACAGTCTGGTGGGCTTTTTATTCAGCAGAGAATTTGAGATTTACAGAAAATTGTACTGTCTTGGATGTTGCAATTGTTACCTTCAGTAGTAATGGACAGCAGTAGCAACACTGTTGTGAATGACATAGGTGGGACATCTAAAGAAGTAGTATTTACATAATGAAGACACACCTAATGTCATTAGTAAGACTACGATTTAGTCACAGGTATTTTTAGTAAAAGTCACAGACAGGTCACGGCAATAACCAAAAAGTCTCAGCCAGTGACCTGTCCATGACTTTTACTAAAAATACCCCAACTAAATCTTAGGTGCTGGGGAGGAAGAGGTGCTCCAGTGGATGCTGCTTCTCCTCCGGGCGGGGGGTGGCCCAGGGCACCGCCACAGCTCCTCCTCCGGGCGGGCAGCGGCCCGGGGCGCAGCTGCTGCTCCTGGACCACTGCTCTGGGCAGCGCCCGGGACCACTTGCCTGGGGCCGCTGGAGCAGTGGCTGGTGTGGCTGGCCCCAGGGCTGCACCAGCCGCTCAGGCCATGGCACCAGCCCCTGCGGAAGTCACAGAATCCAGAACTTCCCTGACCTCCGTGAAAGACTCACAGCTATAGTCATTGGATATTAGCCTTTTAAAAAAATGTCAACTTGTCACACTACCTGAAGACTGATATCTTAATACTCATTCTATTTTATATGCTATTGTCGAGTTTTGTTTATTTTCTTAAATATGAGCTGCAGAAGTTTTGGCAGATATTTACAACCAGTTAATTGGAATGCATGCAAGAAAATGCATATATAATTAGTACTCTTTTAAACAAAGTATGTCAACTTATTTTTCTAAAGCAATAAGAAACATGAACTGCAGATTTGCTGACATAATACACAAGCAGCTTGACAGTCATTTCATTCTAAATCTTAAGTTCAGTTCCTCATAATACTCTCCAATAAGTTCCTTTTTAGGTTGACATTTCTCATACCTAGTGTTACCCCAAAACTACTTTTAATTAAGCCCTTTAAATTTCAACAAACCAAAAGCCGTTTTTAGTTGTAGGAAAGAAAAATACTTTTGACATTAAAGAATTATTAGAGTGCAAAATGTTCTTAATTTTTTTTTATTTTTTTTTAAGTGAATGCAACATGCAACAGTAGCCAAATCTTTACTTGAAAGATCCACACTCCAAGCTGGAGCAGGACAGCGTGTGCAACTAATTATTAAAATAAACACTCTCCAATGTGTCTTTTGGTTACATCTTAAAGTATTAGAGCTACTGATGGTTTCTCAGGAACACTGAGGTTTGCTGTATAACAGGGGTTCTCAAACTGGGGGTTGCGACCCCTCAGGGGGTCACGAGGCTATTACATGGGGGGTCGCGAGCTGTCAGCCTCCACCCCAAACCCCGCTTTGCCTCAAGCATTTATAATGGTGTTAAATATGTAAAAAAGTGTTTTTAATTTCTAAGGGGGCGGGGAGGGGGTCACACACACAGGCTTGCTATGTGAAAGGGGTCACCAGTACAAAAGTTTGAGAACCACTGCTGTATAGTGTTATGAACTGGGTTAAACCTTGTTGCAATTGATGTGTGAATGCACCCTTCAATTAAGATAGATGTTAGAGACAAGGCGTCACTTTGAAATAAGGCATAATGAAGTCTGCCCAGAAACTAGCACCATGTGCATGGACGGTTCCACGGGGTATTGTTCTGACCAGTTACAAGTGTCCGTGGAAAACAGTGCAAGCTGGATGACTGGAGGTAGAAGGGGAGACAAGAAACAAAAAGATTCCCAAGAGGGCAAGAAAGCCAAGCACCAGTTTAAGCACAGAGTGACTCCTGGAGAAGCCTGAAGAGATCTTTTGGGTCTGGTGCTGTCTAAACAGACCTGGGGCTGTAAGCAAAGAAGCTACCCCCTGGTTTGTTGTGTTCCCCCTGCATTTGGAGAAGCAGCACTTTTGTACATTCCTTGTGAATGAACAAGATGGCATCAAAGAATATATCAGATTCCATGATCAGTTTCTATTCCCAACTGGAACAACTTACCAGGGCCACCCATAGGATTCAGGGGGCCTGGGGTCTTCGGCGGTGGGTCCCAGGGCGGAAGGACCCCCCGCCACGGGTCTTCAGGGCACTTCGGCGGCGGGTCCCGGGGCGGAAGGACCCCCCACCGCCGAATTGCCCCCGAAGACCCGGAGTGGAAGAAGCTCCGGGTGCCCGGGCCCTGCAAGAGTTTTCTGGGGCCCCTGGAGTGAGTGAAGAACCCCATTCCAGGAGCCCCGAAAAACTCTCATGGGGGCCACTGCGGGGCCCGGGGCCTGGAGCAAATTGCCCCACTTGCCCCCCCCCCCCCCCCGCAGCCCTGCAACTTACAAGGCCTCAAATTTTGACTAGCTATTCAGATTAAAAAAAAAAAAGAGGTAACGGCCAATCCATACGCAGCTTCAGTGTATAAACAAACATGTTTTTAGTAACAGTTATCCAGATGAATGCATAACTAAAGTGCCCATGGACTGTTATTTCTGTAACCCTGCTTTTCACCCTGATTTTTGTTGTTGTTGTTGTTCATTGTGTTTTGTCCATATTTAAGCCCTGATCCTTCAGTGCAAAGTCTGGGGATCCCTGTACACATGTAGAATTACAAGCTAGTAGGTTGCATTGCAGGATTGTAAACCAGAGAGGGCAGGGAGCATGTTTCATCTCTACAGTGAATGATAAATACAGTTGTATTTTAAGATAGACAAGCTCTTGGCTTTGTTGCTTTACGTAAGCCTGCAAATGAAAGCCAACAGAACACATCATATAAACAGCACATAGTGTCTGCTGGAGAAAAAGCAGGAGATAAAGACATTCCTGTGGATTAGATATACTAGTATGGGCAGCTGTCTTAGGACAGAAAGCTACTCAACGAAAAATATTTTATTAGAGGTTTTCAGATATGGAAAAATACTACAGTATTTTGTACATGAGCAAGTCTCAAAACGTCAAACAGGCCTCAAAACATATAGTTAGGAAAAGTAAAAGCAGAGCTTATGGACTTTTCCATTGCAAGTTTAAATTAATTATTCTTTTGTCCTTGTAATATGAAGACAGACATGCAAACATTTTTGCCCTCCCAAAGTAAATGATCTTACTCTGTTAGACACGTGCTTCTTAATTTGCTAACATTACTCCATCGTCACCAAAACGCTATGAATGCAACCAGAACGGTAGGGTCTTACCTCATCAATTTTTAGCAACTCTTTTTTTGGAGTTTCCTTCTCCGAGGATGAAGCATATACTTGGATGGACAGCAAGCTCAAGCTAGCAGGTGCAGCCCCCAGACGCATTACCTAAACACAATATATGATTACACACAGTTTATGCACTCAGCTTGAAACACGTTAGACAAGTATGTTTGAATACTTTCCATACAGAGAGCTATATGCATAGCACATATAAATCTGAGTTGTGGTCAGAGGCAGGGCGTACTAGCACTGAAGAATGCAACATACTCAACAGTAAGAGCCAAAATACTCAGAAAATCAAGTGTAGAGTTGAATGGCACAATATCTAGGAGTGTATATTTCCTGCATTTTCACCTCATAAGATTTCCCCCCCCCGACACACACACACACTTGAATTACAAATTATGGCCAAATTTTGAATTGTAAGTACCTGAAGGCGTGCTCATAAATTCATAATTCACCCAATTTTACTGAAGTTGGGATTTGGAGGTGTCATCACATTTCCTCCAGTAGAACCTGCTCAGCACCCATAAAAGACAGCCCACTTCTACTACGGTGCCAAAATATGAAAGTTTTGACATCCCAGCCATCTCAGTGACTCAGAAGTACCTCCTACCTACACTCACATGGGAGCCTTGAATTAAGCATGCTACAGATTGCTTAATTTATAAAGAGAGAGGTGCCATGGCTCAAGCAATTTTTTTTTACTTTCATAACTGATGCAGCAAGCTCAGAGTGCTGGGGCTATGAACTGCCAAGCCTAGAGGTGCCGGGGTTCAGCCCTGGCACAAATTAAGCACTAGCAACAGAGGTGATGTTGCCAGGTTCAAGTAAGAAAGAAAGACTATTGTATCTGAATACATAACAAGACTACCATCTTGAAAGCAGATATCTTTCCCATTTCCAGGATATGTGCTGCAATGCATCTTTTAAATAGACAGCAAAGAGTGATGGAGTTTAAAACAGAAACAAATGGAATATGTGGCCACTCAAGATGACTGTGAATTGAAACTGGGAGCAAGGGAGACATTTTTCCAAGAGTTATTTGCCCCCACAACTCGCCCAAAACAAGAGGTTTAATCCAAAAAAGCCAGTTAACCCATACGAGAGCCTTCCATAGTCTCACATTCATACAGTACTTTTCACAAATAAACTTGGGGCTGGTCTACACATGAAGTTGCGCTGCTACAGTATAATTAAAGATGTTATGTTGCACCAATTTAGTTAAACTAGTGACATGTTTATGTTTTAATAATGGTGATTATAGCAGCCCTTAGTAATAGTGCAAATACCTTAGATCAGAGGTGGACAAACTACGGTCTGCAGGCCACATCCAGCCTGTGGGCCCCTCCTGCCCGGCCCCTGAGCTCCTGGCCCAGGAAGCTGGCCCAATGCTCTCGGCGGTGGGGCTCTTGCAGAGCTGCGGCCTGACCCAGTGCTCTGTGCTGCACGGTGGCATGGCTGACTCCAGCCGGGCGGCACGGCTGCCTGTCCTGGTGCTCCAGGCAGCACAGTAAGGTGGCAGGGAGCAGGGGGAGTTGGATAGAGGGCAGGGAAGTTCGGGGTGATAGTCAGGGGGCAGGAGTGTGGATGGGGGCAGGGCGGTCAGAGGACAAGGAACAGGGGGGTTGAATGGGGGCAGGGGTCCTGGGGGGGCAGTCAGGAATGAGAGGAGGGGTTGGATTGGACGGCAGGGGGCAGTCAGGGAACAGGGAGGGTGGATAGGGCAGGGATCCCAGGGGGCCATCAGGGAACATGGGGGATTGGATGGGGCAGGAGTCCCGGGGGGGGGGCATCGGGGCGGGAAGGGGGGGGGGGGGTCAGATGGGGGGCAGGGGCCAGGCCACGTCTGGCTGTTTGGGGAGGCACAGTCTCCCTTAACCGGCTCTCCATACAATTTCAGAAACCCGATGTGGCCCTCAGGCCAAAAAGTTTACCCGCCCTGCCTTAGAGGCATGCTCCTCACCTCTGTCACAGCTGGTACACTTTTTTATCTAAAAATTCAACCACCAATTATGTAGAGAATATGTACTTATTTTACTTACACACACACACAGTTTTTAAACCAAGTTTCTTCCATCACGTCAGAGACTGCGTGCTGACTGAGGACTAAGTTCAGTTTCAGTTTGAAGATTTTTTTTTATATAAATAAAACAAATGACAGCAGCAACTGTTTTTTAATTATCCACATACCAGATAACAGGTCAAACTGATAGACACCATGGCCCCCAGCAGAAGGCAGCTCACCAGGATTGAGTGCAGTGGAACAAGCCATATGTGACTCTTGGTCTGCCATGTGGTCTAGAGCTGGCTGGCACTGCCCTAAGTGAATGTAGGATCAGCCCAGAAGAGGCCAGAGCTAGACACGGTAGGAAAGGGGCTGAATACCAAGCAAGGTCTGCATGAGAAGCTCCTGCCCACCCCTTGAGAAATAAAAGTTCCTCTATACCAGGGATAGCAACCTTTGGCACGCAGCCCACCAGGGAAAGCCCCTTGGCAGGCCGGGCCAGTTTGTTTACCTGCCGCGTCCGCCGGTTCAGCCAATCGCGGCTCCCGCTGACCGCGGTTCGCCGCTCCAGGCCAATGGGGGCTGCGGGAAGTGGCGCTCCAGGTCAATGGGGGCTGTGGGAAGCTGCGCGGGCTGCCGCCGCTTCCCACAGCCCCCATTGGCCTGGAGCGGTGAACCGCAGCCAGCAGGAGCCGCGATCGGCCGAACCTGTGGACGCGGCAGGTAAACAAACTGGCCCGGCCCGCCAGGGGGCTTAACCTTGGTGGGCCGTGTGCCAAAGGTGCCGATCTCTGCTCTATACCAAGGTCAATACACCCTTCAGCATAGCTGGTCTGCAAGGGGGAGGGGAACGCAAATTGGACGCATCTGTAACAACGGGGGTGAACCTGGCACACTGTATTTTGTGATCCAACATCTCAAAAAACAACCAAACAGAATCTTATCAAACTTCTTAAAGCTTTTTACTCATGTGCCAAGACACGTCATGTGAGAACTAGCTCATAGGATCATGTATTTTTCAGGAAGTTTTAAGTGTTTGAAGGAGAAGGTGGGGGAGGAGGAGGGAGGATAGAAAAAAAAAAAAACTGTTGCTTACAATGAAAGTGCTTTATCAGCCATAACTAGTGCCTTGCTAGCACAGCTCTATATAAAAACCAATACTCTTGCCAGAACCATGAACTCTGTTACACAGCAGAGCAAAGATGTGACCTACTTTGTTAATAAAAAACATTTGCTTAAGCTAACAAGAAGCCTTTACACACACATTAATAGGCCTAGACAAGAATATTTAACTAATGATTAATTCTAGGGTCTATTTTTTCTGGGCTACTTGGAAGCTGAATGTTATTTTTATTTTACTGCAAGCCTGTTTTGCCACTAAATCAGACAAAAATCCAAAGTGCAATTTCATTTGTAAGTACTCCTTCAGGAAAGTTATACCCATTGGGATTTTTCAATAATAGTTTTTCCAAAACCATAATGAACAGTTCAAATATTTAAAGTTAGCATATGTTTCACACAAAGTAGTAAAAAACTAAACTATTTTACTGTGATAGCTACTAAACCATGAACTACACTTCAAAGAAGTCAGTAATTAGGAATAAACTCCTTTGTGATATAAAACTTCAAAAATGCAACTCCAAAATGGCTCTCCACTTCTCTGGTAAACGATGCACAAAATCTATTTTTCCTCTATTTAGCATGTGCAGATACAATGTTTGTGCCTTCAATCCAATCTCCTCTGCAATGAGTCTTCATTGTAGAAACATCCCATATCTATACAAAAACAAGCTGCTTTCACTGAATTATCTTTCAATTTCTTAACGACAACGCCAATGTAAGAAAACAAATTAATAATCTACTGTACTGTTAGGCAGCAGACCAAAGTTTAAACAAGTAGTTATGTATTTATAGAAGAGAAAAATCAGTATTTAAATTTTCAAGTAGTCTTCTTACTTCTTTCGGAGAAAAACCTCATTGACTATATTATTTCCAGATTGTTCGAGGTTTCTTTTTTCTGCAGTATCTTATTACAATAGAAAAAATAATTTAGAAAAGAAAACACATGGATGCGAGCTATCGGGACTTCAAAGGAACTTGGAATTAGGAACAGTAAGTAGGAGTATTACCACTCTTTCTTTGTTAAGAAATTAGATTATGTAGCCATAACCAATGGAGCACAAGTATTAAATCTAGTATAGTAGATTTAAGTAGAACCTCAAAAGTTACGAACACCTTGGGAGTGGAGGTTGTTCATAACTCTGAACAAAACATCATGGTTGTTCTTTCAAAAGTTTACAACTGAACATGGACTTAATACAGCTTTGAAACTGTACTATGTAGAAGAAAAATGCTGCCCCCCCCCTTTTTTAGTAGTTACATTTACTACAGTACTGTATTTACTGCCCCCTCCCCTTTTTTTTTTGGTCTCTGCTGCTGCCTGATTGCATATTTCTGGTTCCAAATGAGGTGGGTGGTTGACTGGTCGGTTCGTAATTCCCAGGTTCTACTGTAATTTTTTTATTTTTAAAGTGATATATAAAAAGTCTCACCAAAGTATATATTATATGGCCCCATTCCAGCACACCTCAGTTCTCAAATAAGACTCAATATTTATAGGGGTACACACAGACAGAGCAAGGGAGTTAGATTTATTTTTCATACTGTAGTAGTACCAGAAGTGCACCAGGCACTTTCAACCGGGTGTTTTTGTTCTCATTATAAAATAAACAAACTAATTTAAGCTACAGGACTATATTACTCTTCCACTTCTAAAGAGAGGGCACCCTTCAAGTCACAGCAGCACTGTAATGGCCCTATACATCAATAAAGTTTGTACCACACAAAACCATTACTAAAAGATTTTTTTTAAACGTTTTATATACATAGAAACATTATTTACTTTAGATCATGAAAGGTTAGCTTGTCCCATTTTCCGTTTTCAGAATTTACTTTAGAATCTGATTTTGTAATACTGTACTAAGAATAATTCCTAACTTATCTATTTTAGAAAGCATTCTGATATTAATTGTATCTTCAACTTGCGTCACTCTTACTGCTATTCAGTGGATAGCAAAAAAAGATTGCATAAATG